GGTTCTGACTTGACATTAATAAACATTTCTTTACCAAGAAGAAGGTTAAAGACCAGAACGGGCTTCCTAGAGAGGAGGTTGATGCCCCAAGCCTGGCAGTGTTTAAGAGACATTTGGACAATGCCCTTAATAACATGCTTTCAGGTCAGCCCTGAATTCATCAAACAGTTAGACTAGATGATTGTTGGAGGTCCCTTCCAACTGAAATATTCTGTTCCACTCCATTTAATTTGTTTCTAAGTGACTAAGATATTAGACTTCTTTAGCTTGGAATGCATATCATAAATAAGAAAGGCAAAATATTTCTGTTCTGCTGCCTCTAACCTTATATTGGTCCAAGAATTAACTGATGCATTATTCAAAAATTTTTGCATTTAATTATTTTTTTATTTTTTATTTTTAATTAGGAAAATGCCAAATACTTTCAAATTAGAATTGGGGCCCTTGGGTTGGTTTATACTGAGCACTGCAATGCTCTTTTCTGTGTAACAGGGGAGGCCAAGCACAAACTTTGTGCTGCCGATGGTCTCTGATGTTGAGAGTCAGTGCAGCTCCCTCTATGGGTTAAAAAGATTTGGAGAGAACACTTCTCTGGCACAAAGATTATGGACAAAGTAATGTTTCAACTTTAAGGAAATCTCTTAGGCAGTCTGCTGAAAGAGCTGTATTTGAATAAAGCATTTCAAATGCAGTGATGGCTTCAGACACGTTAACCTGGAATCTTGGTTGAGATCTGCTGCGTGGGTCAGAGATGGAAATGGATCCTGACATTTTGGCACTTGTCGGTCTGAAATGCAAAGGAAAGCATGATAAATGTAACAGGCAAATTTCGTATCAGCTTTTTTCATAAACCAATTTTTTCCATTTGCTACAGAATATCCAAATGTTAACAATTAATGAACCAAAGATATGGGAATCCTGTCAGTAAATATTGCCAGGGGATAAGACAGTGATCACCTCTGATTCTGAATTGTAGTAGGGATTGTTGTATAGGTTTTACTGGTCTATTTCTTTTCCATAATTGTGTTTCTTTTTCTTATTTGCAAGAAATAGAAGAGATATGAAAGCTACCTGATTCCCTCTAAAATGAATTCCAAAAGCACATATTACAGTCATTTCCAGTCTGAAACCTGAAGGGTTTCATTTATTTGTGATTGTAGGTTTCATGATTGAAATAGATGATTACGCAAATTTCAGTATAGAAAGATTATTCAGAGATCTGAGATGGAAGTTGCTTTTGTGCTTCAAATGATGCAGAAGTATGTAACACCAGTTAGCAGGTCACTGAGAATTTCAAGCGTTTGCACATGACAGTTCTCTGAGGGGTTAATGCAACATTAGGAAAAAATACCACACACCCCTAAAGTTTCAGAGAGCATATTATTTTGTAACTCATAGATTATTTTTTTCTGTGGAACTTGTGCTACTATTGTTTTACAGGAAATAATTTCCATAGATGCAGAATTGAGATTCTTCATGGGATCTCCCTCTGGAGGGATTATCTGGTTTTGGTGTCACCTTCCTCAGGATGCCACAGAAAACCTTCCACGGGTCTGTGGTTTGCAGAAAAGGGGACAGCCATGATCGTCCTTCTAATAGCAAATATTTCCTTCTGTGGCAGCATTAGCTCCTGCCTTCTTCCAAGGTTTTGAATCTTGGTGCCGGTTTGGAGATGTAGTTACATCCTGTGCTCCTGATAAATCCTTGCAGATCTCAGACATGCTGGGAATCTGAGGTAACCTCCTCTAGCTGGGGTAGCAGGATAAGGAGGCATTACATGCTTTTCTTCATCATGAGGCTTAATTCTGTCTTGGATTCCCACCTGGCCTGATCCAGGGTTATGTCATACCAAAAAAGCACAAAATGCTTCAAACAAACGAAATAAGGGTCTGTACTCTGAAGAGCTTACTAACCAGAGAGCAAGCTCAGAATTAAAATGTACGAAGCAAGCGAGCGGTGCGGTGTTATAGTACCAACCAGGGTGCAGCTCTCAGGTTCAGCATAGCTTTAGTTCAGCACTTGTAGAGGAATAAATATACATGAAAATATTTGATATGCGTAACAAGTTCTGACATGATTTATATGCACTTGAAGCAAATGAACAGAACAAAAGTAGGGCAGGCCCTCACCAAAAATCTAACCTCTGGGTTATTTGGCCTGTTGCTGTGTTTGTATCTCATCTGACAGCAGATGACAATAATGAATACACCAGACTCTGGAGTTCAAGGCCAGCGTGGTTAACTCCCAAAATGTAGTTGCTTATCTGAAATGTATCTAAACCTCTTAAATCTGCCAACAGTGAGCTGGAAATCTCTCAGCACCAGGCTTTCCTTCTAGAGTGGCAGGGATAAGGCCATTAGTGTTTTTCCTGTCATAAACTGCACCTGTTTCTAAATCCCAGACACTTAGTTGGGAACTCAGTTGACAGAAAAAGAGGTGAACAAAAATTTCACCATACTTAAGATGTGCCATGTTCAGGCTTCTTGTGCATGACACATTTATGCAAATGTGTCCAAAATTAGGTCTGAATGCTTCAGGGAAGCATTGCTGTATGCTGACAGTGCCTGGAACAGCCCAGGGGAAACACTGCCTGGGCCTCCGTCCACCTCCAGCTGGCTTCCTTGTAGAAAATCCCCTGTGCCTTTGGAGAACCTTATACAATACAAAGAGACTGCTGAAGGACCACTGCTTCCTTTACTGTCTGTGCAGTATGACCAGAGCCTCTATTGAGGGCAATCTGCACTCTTTTTTTCCCCCAAAGTCTAGGGCTCAGCCTTTTCACCATGCAGTATATTTATATCCGATCATTGTATTGATGAACGCACCTCATCTAGATGTGGTTAGGTATGGCACGTGTTGGAGTCAATAAACTTGTAATGGTTTTCAGCAGAGATGAACAGAAGCGAGTTAGGGACAAATGCAGCAAAGCTGTATTCATACTGTATTTCAACAAAGGTGTTTGTGTCTCAAATCTGTGCCGTAAGCAGAAAGTGAATACATTTAAAAGTATACTAAATATTATAAATAAAAGCAGGGGACAGCCTGCTACCCAGGCAGCTGGACTGATGTTTGAACTGTTCTAGTGGTAATGTGTGAAAAACCTTAGAGTGGAGCAGACTTTGAAAAATAGTGCTAGCTTTGGCATTTGCTCCAAATACTATTGGAAGAGGATCATTCAGAAAGGATGCTGTTAAGTGAAACTGGACCCTAATTCAGATCATATTAAATGGAACATTTTTTACAAATTTTCAGCTAAAGAGGTTTCCAGAAAATTATTATTAAAACATAACATTTTGCCACTGTTAACAACCTAACCATTATAGCAGTGGCCTGAAAGTGAGGGAATAAAAATTTACTATTGGTAACAAAACTGTCTAGAATATGTTCCTCACAGTCCAAAAGGAGAAGTGCAAATACTGTATATTTATAGCCAGCCCTCAGAAACGGCGAAAATGAACAGTGAATGAGCTGTTTGCTTTCTGCTCTTTATAACTAGAAATATTTTCCCCTATTAAACACTTGGAGGCCAGTGTTCCATCTTTATATTGAATTTTTTCTCAAGCAGCAACTATTGACTGCAGCAGGATATTATCAAAGTAAGAACAGCATGACTTGATTCATGGCTTTTATGTTTGACAGTGTTCCTTTAGTGCTCAGGAGTACATGTGTGTCCACAGTGTTCAAAGGTATTTTGTATATATGCACCAGGTTAATGCATTTTTAAGCTGAAGAGGATTCTCAGTGGGATTTTGAAAAGGAAAATGCTACAATTCTGCTTCTGTTGGTGGGGAGGTTAAAATTCCCAGTGGGAGCAGTCTTAGGCCAAGGCTGAGCAGTGCTGAACATCTCACCCAGTACTGGAAACACCTGTAAGCTGTTATCTTTGTCTCTCCTTATTTTTGTTAAGTGTCACAGAACTATTGGCCTCAACTTCAGTGAAGAAAGCTTTTCTATGACAGCAAGGGCTGGCCATGTTTAGTTAGCTAAACATAGCTGACTCAGCCATAGCTCCATGGCTATGGAGAAAACAACTGCACTCCCGTTGTTTTTCTGCTGTTATTTATGAGACTCTCTGCTGTATTAGTTCAGTGGTGTTTTCCAGAAATGTGAAAGAGGGAGAGAAAGGATGGGCAGGTACTTTGAAAACTGAGATAATTTTAATGGAGTTTACCTCTGTTCCTCCGTAGCCTGGTGTGTCTTGGGTACATCGCTTAGCTTCTGCGTCCTTCATTCCCCTCTCTGTGAAGTAGGGGTGATACATCTCATATAGCAAAGGCCATGGCTATGGAGTAAATCTATTCAGGATGGTGAAGTGTTCAAATTCTTATGTAGTGGACGGCAGGTACATACGTTGGACAGACTGGAAATTACACCTTTCCAAAGCAATCTGAATATTATGTATTGGCAGCTGCAAGCTGATCAAATGGACTTGCTCCATTCAGAAGTACGATGCAGAACAGCAGAAGAGAGGAAAAAATATAAGAGGACCTTGAATATGCAGTCTTCTCAAGTTGTCTCACAGAAGCCAGTGAAAGGCAAATGTTTGTTGAGGCTGAGACATCTCTGGCTAACGTGATTACATGCTGTAATGTGATAGCTGTTGGGGGGCCTTTACAACGAGCTCATAGACGGGTGTCACGTGAGACACCATGGGCTTCTGGGGTGGTTAGTCCCACTTGCTTCATTACATTATCTTTGAGAAATTCCAGGAGACTTGGAACTAAGCAAGTGCACGGTGCTGTTGCTGTGCCCGACAGGATTGGTCTGGGGTGGTGCGTTTCAAATAAGAAATTATTTCATGTGTACTCGGGAGTTATTCTATGTGGCTTTATACATTCTCCTTTCACAGATGGCAGTGCCAGTGGGAATTATTACTATTGTTTTAAAACTTCGGTAATCACTTGCTTTCATGCCTTTGAAAGTACAAACAGCCTGTTTCAGGGGTTTACTTGCCACAGTTGTATTACTCATACTCCTTTTCTTGCTTTGTTTTCTGGTAGAATACATACACCAATGCAGACAAGCTTTTGGAGGCTGCAGAGCAGTTGGCTCAGACTGGGGAATGTGACCCTGAAGAGATCTATAAAGCAGCCCGGCATCTGGAAGTACGGATTCAGGACTTTGTCCGGAGGGTGGAGCAGAGGAAGCTTCTCTTGGACATGTCAGTGTCCTTCCATACCCACACCAAAGAGGTAAGATATGCATGTGGGAATTTTTCTGTGTATTGCAGAGTGCTGCAAGAGGCTAACTCTGAAAACTCAGATGACATAGAAAAGGCATCTTCACTGTGCAGGGCTGATATCCAGGTCATTTGATGCATGTGACTAACTGTTGTAAAGAGGAAACAAAATGTGAATGAAACAGATGAATGATACAGTACATTAAAATGTGGTGCTTAATTCACAACTGGAATGTACTGTTATAAAGCAAGAATTCTCCTGTAAGAACATGAGTTGATATTAGCACATTAGGTATAAACATGCTAGCAGTGTGATACGTAGCCTCAGATGGATTCCATTTGAATATAATGGTAATTAATTTAGCCGTTATTATTAAGTGTTACTGGAAATCTTACATTGTTTAATGAGGCAGACTTCACTTTTCAAAATTACAGTTAAAGAGCAAATAGCCACGTACTGATACAGTGAATCAGTGAGGACTTGAATAAATGCTGTTAGTATAATTGAAAAATATCCAGAGATAAGGCTGTCTCGCCAGAGATACAGTAGACAGGACATCAAATGGGAGGCCACTGGGAATGTAATTAAAGCATACTTCACATTTTTCTGCAGACCAAAGGCCATTCAGTGATGAGTGACTTTTAAAGACAGAGTTTCTGCTGAGAGAGATGGAATTACTCGGAATGGTTGTTTTCATGCTCTGCAGCATCTGTTTGTAAAAGTACACTTATCAGAGAGATGCTCTTAGAAGATGAATGCTTTGCATGTGTTTTTTGATTTACATGTTACAAACAAGTTGTGTATAGCAGGCTTCAGTGTGCTGGGGAGCCTCCTTAGGTAGAAGGTGTATGCACACGTTCATA